TTTTTATTTTTATGTGTATGAGTGTATTGCCTGCATGTGTGTGAGTGTACCTGTGTCATGCAATGCCTGAGGAAGTCAGAAGAGGATATTGAATTCTTTTGGAATTGGAGTTATGAATGGTTGTTAGCAGCCATGTAGGAGCTGGGAATCAAACCCAGGTCCTCTGTAAGAGCAGCCAGTGCTGTTAAATGCTGAGCCAACTCTCCTGCCCAAATAAAAATTTAAAAAGGCTATAGTACTAACTTACGTATGTTTTTCAACATTTTAATTGCTTAATTTTAGTTTTGAAGACAGGGTTTTCCTCTATAGCTCAGTTCAAACTCATGACAGTTCTGTCTCAAGCTCCGGCATGCTAGGATAACAGGGGTATGGAACCATGTCCTGTTGTATGTTTTACAGGGAGTTATTCTGTGCCTATGCTGAGCCATGCCCACAGCCCCTCACTGGGGGACTCTAGGCTGCCACTCTGCCCCTGAGCCATGCCCCCAGCCCCTCACTGAGAGACTCTAGGCTGTCACTCTGCCCCTGAGACACACCCCTAGCCCCTCACTGGGGGATTCTGGGAAGGGACTTGGCTATTGATACATGTCCTCAGTCCTCTTTTTTACTTAGTTTGATGCTGTGTCTTGATAAATTTCCCAGGTTGGTCTGGATCTTTAAATCCTTGTGCTTCAGCCTCCTAAGGAGCTGGGCTGACCAATCTGCACCAACAGACTCAGCTTCAAAAAAACTTAGTACACTGAAAAAGAAAACCCATCTAAATTGTTGAGTGTTACCCCAACAATACCAAGACATTTGAAGATCAAGAAATCTATCAGTCTAATTGACTATCCTAATTGGATCAAGAGAAGGAAAATTGGATATTTATCTATTTAATTTCGGGACTACTTAAGCTATTTACAACTTAAAAATCTGCCAGATATTTTTAAAAGGATAGGAGAAACTTTACTCACTCTTTCCAAAGAACAGACTCCTCTCCCCAGCCTCCTTACGTAACAGGAAGGATGCTTGCCATGAGTAGCAGGTGGCCAAATTCTATTTGGCCATTCTTTTTTCATTCTTCTTTTTTTGTTTATTTGTATGTGTGTATTGCCTGCATGTTTGTATGCATGTTGTGCAGTGCCCATGGAAGAGAGGGTGTTGGATCCCCTAGAACTGGAGTTATGGACAGTTATTAGCTGCTATGTGGGTTCTGGGAATCAAACCCAGGTCCTCTGCAAGAACAGCCAGGGCTCTTAAATGCTGAGCATCTCTCCAGCCCCTAATTTATTTATTTTTATTTTATGTGTGTGAGTGTTTTGCCTGCATGAATGTGAGTGCACCATGTGTGTGCAATGCCTACGGAGTCCAGGAGAAGGTGTTGGATTTCCCCATAGACCAGTCTGGCCTCTATCTCACAGAGATCCACCTGCTATCTCTGTAAATTCGAGACCAGCATGGTCTACATAGCAAGCTCAAGTCAGCTGGGGAGATCCTGTCTCAAAAAAATCAGAAAAACCCACCAAAATAAGATCCATGTGCCTGTGCCTCCTAAGTGCTGGTTCTAAGTGTGTGTGTGTGTATGTGTGTGTGTGTGTGTGTGTGTGTATGCACAGAGGCATCTGCCTGCTGTCCTGCTCCATCTCTCTCTACCTTACTCCTTTCAGACAGGGTCTCTCACTGAATCTGGAACTAGGCTGGAACAGTCACTGAGCCCTGTCTTCCCTACTCCCCTTCAGTGTGATACCCAACTTGTTGCTAGGTACTAGGGATTCAAATTCAGATCCTCATGATTGCAAAGCAAACTCTCTTCTCTCTTACCCACTGAAGCCCCCCCCCCCGCCCTACCTAGTCTACCACCTTGTTTTTTCAGACAGGGTCTCTTACTGTCCTGGGGCTCACCTGTTCAGTTAGGCTGGTTGGCCAGTAAGCCCCCAGGGACCTTCTGGTCTCTGGATCCGGGATTGCAGGTGTGCACCACCATGCCTGGCTTTTGAATATTTGTTTGTTTGTTTGTTTGTTTCTTTCTTTTGTTCTTTCTTTCTTTAATCATTTAAAAATATTTTTATTTATTTATTTCTATGTGTATGAGTGTAGCCTGCATGTATGTAAGTGCACCTGTGTCATGTAATGCCTGTGGGGGTCAGAAGAAGGCATTGGATCCCCTGCACCTGGAGTTAAGGACAGTTGTTAGCTGCCATGTGGGTGCTAGGAATTGAACCCTGGATCTCCGTAAGAGTGGCCAGTGCCCTTAACTGCAGAGCCCACTCTCCAGGCCCCATACAAGCTTTTGATGTAGGTACCGTACTGTATTTGAACTTGGGTCCTCATGCTTGGTCAACAAGCATTTTACTGACTGAGCCATCTCCCCATCCCCTATTTTGATTTTTTGTTGTTTGTTTTTGAGACAGGGTCTCTCTGTAGCCCTGACTTGGAACTCACTGTGTAAACCGGGCAGGCCTCAATCTCACAGAGATCTGCCCACCTCTGCTTCCTGAGTGCTGGGACTAAAGGCGTGTACCATCACTCCTGGATCCCTGTTTTTATTTTTTGAAGTGTCTCACTAAATTGTCCAGCTTGGTCTTGAATTCATTCCATAGCCCAGGCTGGCCTTGAACTTGCCATCCTCCTGCCTCCTCAGTTGCCACCATGCCCAGCCACATTTGAGTTCATCAGCAGTATCTTTCCTGTCTCCTTGAGCCTATTTTTTACTGTTTTAAAAATAATTCTATTTATTTGTTTATTTAATGTATGTGGGTATTTTGACTATATGCATGCACACCATGTGGGTGCAGTGTCCACAGAGGCCAGAAGAGGGTGTTGGATCCCCTGGAACTGGACTTACATATGGTTGTTAGCAGCCATGTAGGTGCTGGGAACTGAACTCAAGTCTTCTGGAAGAGCAGCCTGGGCTCTTAACCTCTGAGCCACCTCTCCAGCTCAAGCCTGTTTTTTTACTTAAGTATGTGTTATTTGTTAAATATGTGTTATCCTGTCTGTCTGTCTGTCTGGTCACAGGGAGGCCCTGAAGAAGATGAAGGATGTATATGAGAAAACACCCCAGATGGGGGACCCAGCCAGCTTAGAGCCCCGGATCACAGAAACACTCAGCAACATTGAGAGGCTCAAGCTGGAAGTGAGGAAATATGAGGTCAGGTCACAGGCCCTGGGGAGGGGCAGGCGCCAGCTCTGTGAGTCACTGCTGGGTGGGGGATAGGGAAGCACAGTGGGGACAGAATCCATCTGCTTCCCATCAGAGCTTTGGGTGTGCATGAGTGATCTCAGAAAACGTACCCAATCCAGAGTGGGCTGACCTCGGTGCCCTGCCCTGGAACTCACCCTGTGATCCCCAACCAACCAACCAACCCCAGGCCTGGTTGGCAGAAGCTGAAAGCCGAGTCCTTAGCAATCGAGGGGACAGCCTGAGCCGCCATGCCCATCCCCCGGATCCTCCCACCACCGCCCCTCCTGACAGCAGCAGCAGCAGCAACAGTGGGTCCCAGGATAACAAGGAGAGGTGAGCTGGAAACCAGCAACAGGTGTGAGGTGGAGGGGAGAGCCCCTGCCTAGAATCCCCAGTGAGGGGCTGGGGGTGTGGCTCAGGGGTGGAGTGACAGCCTAGAATCCCCCAGTGACAGCCGGCATGTGGCTAGGGATCCAGGAGAATTTGGCTCATGTGCCTCTGTCCCCAACAGCTCAGAAGAGCCACCTTCTGAAGAGGGCCAGGACGTCCCCATCTATACTGAATTTGATGAGGACTTTGAAGAACCTGCATCCCCCATTGGCCAGTGTGTGGCTATCTACCAGTTTGAAGGTGTGACTAAGCCCTGGGGTGGGATTGAGGCAGTAGTTTCTTTTCTTGCTGCTGTGACAAAAGCAACTTAAGTTGGAGGTTGTATGTAGCTCAGTGGTAGAGAGCTTGATAGCACATGAGGTCCTAGGTTCAATTCCGAGCACTGCCCCCTAACAAAACAACTAAGGAAGGGTTTTATTATTTTATTTTTATTTATTTATTTAACTTTTTTGTTTTATTTATTTTTATGTGTACAAGTGATTTGCCTACATGTGTGTAAATGCACCAAGTACATGTAATGTTCACAGAGGCCAGAAGAGGGCATTGGATCCCCTGGAACTGGAGTTACAGATGGTTGTTAGTCACTTTGTGGGTGCTGGGAACTGAACCCAGGTCTTCTGCAAGAGCAGCCAGTGCTCTTAACTTCTGAATTCTTGCTCTAGCCCCTTATTTTTAATTTTATACCATTTAAAAAACTTATTTTGCATGTGTGCAGAGACCAGAGAACAACTTGCTGGCACTGGTTTTCTCCTTCCGCCATGTAGGTGTCCAGGACTGAGCTCAGGTCCTCAGGCTTGTTGGCACGTGCCTTTACCCAATGTGCCCTGAAGTTTTCCTTTTCTTTTTTCATTTTCTGAGAGAGGGTCTTCCTGTAGCCCCAGCTGGCCTGGAACTTGTTATGTAGCCCAGGCTGGCCTTTATCTCACATTCACCTACCTTTGCTTCTTGAGTGCTGGGATACAAGATGTGTGCCACCACGACCAGCAATTTCTCTTTCTTATTCTGTCCAGGCCCCCAGCCCATGGAATGGTGCTGTTGGTGCAGGGGTGGGTCTCCCACTTCAATTTACCTCATCTAGACTCTCCTACACAGACAAGCCCAAAGGTTTTCTCTCAGATGATTCTATATCCTGTCAAGCCTACAAGATTAAGGCATCTCACTCTGATACATCAGTTGCTTGGGGCAGTGCTTTCTGGTTAAATTTACCTAAATTGGAACTTGGGTCCTGTCCTCCCCATTTCCCAACAGGATCCAGTGAAGGTACTATCTCCATGTCGGAGGGGGAAGACCTCAGTCTGATGGAGGAAGATAAGGGTGATGGATGGACTCGAGTCAGACGGAAACAGGGAGGCGAGGGCTATGTACCCACCTCTTACCTCCAAGTCACGCTCAACTGAACCCCACCAGAGCCAGGAAGAGGGGCAGGGGCATCAGCTGCTGCTCCTGGGCTACAGGGGGCCCCCAGGACCTATGCACTTTATTTCTGCCCTTGTGGCTTTTGGCTGAAACCTGTTGAACCTGCTGTCCCTCCTCCCCACTCCACCTTACACCTCACAGGGACCCATCGTGCCTTCTTGAGTGGCTGTACATACTTGTCAATTAAGATCTTCCTGTTGATCAGCTTGGGCCAAGTTTTGTTTTATATTAAAAAATATATATTATATAAAGTTCTTGGTCCCTATGCCTCTGATATTGGGACTAGATTCTCAAAAGCTGCTTTCTGGACTCAGTGGTTAGGAGTGCTTGTTGCTTTTACATTTACAACCACCTGTAACTCCAGCTTCAGGGGATCTGACACCCTCTTCTGGCCAGCACAAGCAGGTGCACTCAGATGTGTACATACCAACAAACACACGTAATTTTTAAAAAGATTTTTATTTTAAAAAACATTTTATTTTGAGTGTATTGCCTTCATGTATGTAAGTGCACCTGTGTCATGCAATGCCTGTGGAAGTCAGAAGAGGTCATAGGATTCTCCTGGAACTGGAGTTATAGTTATTAGCTGTTAGCTGCTGTGTGGGTGCTGGGATCTGGACCTGGGTCCTCTGCAAGAGCATCTAGTGTACTGAGCCAGATGTGTAGTCCATGTGTATATGTGTGTGTATCAGTACTAGAGCCGATAGAGGTCAGAGGTGCTGGATCTTCTGGGGCTGGAATCACAGGTTAGCCACCTGACATGGGTGGGAACTGAGCTCAGGTTCTCTGAAAGAGCAGTATATACTCTTAGCCACTGAGCCGTCTCTTTTCCATGTTATTTATTATTTTTATTTTATGTGTATGAGTGTATTGCCTGCATGGGTCTAAGAGCACCCATGTCATGCAATGCCTATGGTGGTCAGAAGAGGATGCTCCGGAACTGGAGTTACAGTTTGTTAGTTGCCATGTGAGTGCTGGGAACCCAACTTGGGTTCCCTGCAAGAGCAGCCAGTGCTCTTAAGTGCTGAGCCATCTCTCCAGCTCCCCTTACCCCCCCTAATTTTTTTTGGGCGGGGGTCTTTTTGAGACAGGGTCTCCCTGTAGTCCCAGCTGTCCTGAAACTCACTATGTAGACCAGGCTGGACTTGAACTCACAGAGATCCGTCTGCCTCTGCCTCCCAAGTGCTGGGATTAAAGGTGTGTGTCACCATGCCCAGCTCATCCCCCCTAATTCCTTAAAGCTACTTTTTGTTTTTTTTTTTTGAGACAAGGTCTCCCTATAGCCCTTGATATGTAGATCAGGCTAGCCTGGATCTCAGAGATCCACCTGCCTCTACCTCTTAAATGCTGAGATTAAAGGCATGTGCCACCATGACCAGCCCTAAGCCACCTATGGGTCACATAGGGAATGAGGAAGGGAAGGTGAACTTGGGTACACCCCAGGCAATCCTTGTCCCTTCTGTGTAAGTCATCACTGAGTACTTGTGACTCCAGTAGAGGAAGAGAGGTGCCAAACTTCATTCCTCCTGTATGTGATTCAGCCTGCTCAGAGCAAGCAGCATTTATTGAGTACCTACTGTCTGCCAAGCATTCTCCACCTACAGTCTCATTCATGTATTGAACTTTCATTCTGGCCGCATTACCCTAGAAAGTAGTCTGCCACATATTAAAGACATGCATAGAGAGGTCAAATAATTAGCTGGAAGTCACACGGTATTTAATAGGTAGAGTCAAATCTGAACTTTGATACCAGATTTGCAAAATGTTTTGACTTTGAAAAGCCACCTGTTCACCATGTGGCTGCTTTTTGGGTGTCCTAGCTGCAGGGGAGACTATGAGGGGTTGTCTCCAGATACCTGGGTGGGTCTCTTGGTAAAAAGGAGGATGCTACTGCACCCCGCTTGGTCCATTCCTTGGAGTGGAGTCAATTTTTAATGGGGAAATTCCTGCAAACTTTGACTCCATCTTTTATGGAGGGGCATTCCAATCCACCATGAATTTTTTTTGAGACAGGGTCTCATGTAGCTAGCCCAGGTTATCCTCAAACTCACTATGTAACTGAGGCTGGTCTTGAATTCTTTTTGTTGTTGGTGGTTTTTGAGACAGGGTCTCACTGTGTATCCCTGGCTGGCCTAAATTTCACGGATTCACCTGCCTCTGCCTCCATAGTGCTGGGATTAAAGGTATGCACCACTGGCCAGGCTTGGGCTTGAATTCTTTTTTTTTATTTTTAATTAAAATTTTATTTATGCGTATGAGTTTTGCCTGCTTTTATGTAAATGTACCCGTGTCATGCAGTGCCTGCGGAGACCAGAAGAGGGCGTTGGATCCCTGGAACTGAAGTTATGAATGGTTGTTAGCCATCATGTGAGTGCTGGGAACGAAGGCCCAGTCCTCCATAAGACTGGCCAGTGCGCTAACCGCTCAGCATCTCTCCAGGCCCAGCCTTGAATTCTTGATCTTTACATCTTCAGTTCCCAAGTGCTGCGGTTACAGGTGTGGGCCCCCTGCGCAAGATTAACCATGAGCCTCTTGAAGAGCTTGGGGCAATTTTCTTGGTCTTTTGGGGAGTTCCCCCAAAGTGTGGAGGTCCCCTCCAGAGTACAGATGGAGTGGGGCTCGGTTCTCAGCCATGAGGCTCTAGACGTTCAGACAGCACGCAAAGGACACGATGGAACTTCTCCAGGCGTTCGGCTCTGGGGGCCTGAGCGCCACGACTCCCCCAGAGCAGCCTTCGTAGGAAGCTGGTGGTCAGAGCTTCTCTCAGTTCTAAGTTAGGCTGGAATCCTGTAGGCAAAGTCAGGTATGGTGGGGGTGGGGCCCAGGCCTCTCCCTATACCGGTCTTCCAATCCTAGGGACTTTGACCTAGCAGAAGCCAGATGGGACTGGGCAGGGGTTACAGGGGAAAGGGGGCCCCTGGGATCTATGCAAGAACGAGAGTGGGGTACCACAGGGGCCTCGTGGAGCTGGGCTCAGCCAGGAGGCATGGGGCGGCCTGTCTAGGGACAAGATTCAGGGATCCCCACCATAGGGGCTATGCCCGGAGGCAGGATTGAAGGACAGGGCTGGTCAGCTTGGTAACCTTTGGGCTGTAACAGGCCACTTTGGAGGGTGGAGCGTCCAAGGGTTTTAGAAATGACCCAGGATAAGGAATCTTAGGGTCTGGGTTGGCCCTGGGTAGGAAAGAAGTGTAAGTCCGAGACCAGGATATGGGTGGGCCTAGGCAGGGGAGGAATCGGGATCTGGGCAGGATGTGGGCAGGCCTAGAACAGGGGGAGGAGTCAGGATCTGGGCACGTAGGAGAGGGAGGGACCGAGGAAACGTGCAGAAGGAGCCTGGCGGGAGGGCGAGGCCTAGGACACAGGGCTCAGGGACTTAGAGAAGACTTGAGGAGATTACCAAAGTGGAGCCTTGCCCAAGGGGCAGGAGTCCTTTCGAGGTGAGGCCAAGCAGAAGTAGGGACTAGGTCAAGGTGGGGCCTAGGGTCATTTTGGAGAGAACCAAGCCCAGTTTTCCCAGGTAGGATGTTGGGGGCGAGACCTCATGGAGGTAGCTCCCCGGGGTATGGTGGTCCCTTTGGGAGTGGAGAGCAATATTTGGAGCTCTGATTAGTGTTGGTAATGGGGGATGGGTGTGCATGCTTGGGGACAGCCCCACCCCCCCGGGGGTGTGGCGTCCCAGTTGGGCGGGACTTGAGAAGCTTGGTTTGGGGCTGGGGGGCAGGAGGGGGTCGCTCACCTCGCAGGCTCTGGACAGCAGTTCTGCGGAACTGGGGCGCGTCGCGGGCCACCTGCCGAACCCCTTGCAGAATGCGTAGCAGGCGGTCGCAGCCCTCGTCCAGCGGCCCCTCGAGCTCCTCGCCCTCCAGCAGGCGCACGGCGGGCACCACGTGTGGCACGGCAACCTCTTTGGGGTCCGAGGGTCCTGCAGAGGTGGGGAAGGGTCGGATCTGGGTTTGAGGCAGTGGGAGGGGGCGGAGGGTGGAGCCTAGGAAAGAGCAAGGGCGGGGCTTGTGCACAGCCAGAGAGGGTCCAGGGCAACGTGGAGCGCAGGGGAAGAGGAGGGTGGTGTCTGGAATGGAGGGCCGGGCCCAGGACACAAATGTTTCACGGGGCTGAGGCAGAGGGAGGCCGACAGAAAGGTTAGAGCCTAGCTTCAAGGGCAGGAGCCCCTGCCATGTGGGGCCTAGGATGCTGTCACAGGAAGGGGCAGGGCCCAGGGTAAGGATACAGTCAAGCACAGGCTCAGGCCTAGGGACTAGGAGGGCGAGATCTAGGGCAAGGGGTGGAGCCAAGGACAGGCCCACCGCAGGGGAGAAGCTTAAAGTTGGAAAATAGTCTAGGGAAGGCAGAGCCTAGGATGGGGCAGAACCTGGGGCTTGGAGGAGACTAGGATAGGGGAGGAGCCTGGGGCAGAGAAGCGCTTAAGATGGAGGCCCACCGTAGGAGTGGCGTAAACATTAAAATGGCTTGGGACTCTAGGTAGGGCTTAAATCTAGACTCTCACTTACCTGTGCCTTCATCCAGAGTCCGCATCAGCGGTTTTAACTCTTGCTCAAAGGCCAGTGCTGCCTCCGTGTGGCTCCTTCGAAGGTGGCGCCACGTATTTTCCAACCTGGATATCTGGAGGATGAGACAGGAGCCTAATTCTCCCCCTTTTCCCAGCCACCTGCACCCGGACTTCCTCCCCATCCCTGCCCCCCCCCACACCTGGGGCATGAGCAAGGCGCCCATGACTCCAGCCAGTCCCAGCAGGTCCCCAGCCGCCCCTGGCCTCAGTGCCAGTGCCACCTCCACCAGGCCTCTCAGTGCAGCCGCGCGCTCCTCCAGGGGCCCGGAGCAACCCAGCACCACCAGTGCAGAGGCCAGTGACAGAGTCTCGATCCTGCAGAGGTGGAATGCAAGGGTCTAGGGGCAGTAGGAGAGTTTGTGATGGGAGGGGGAGGGAGGAAACAGGAAGTGTCATTGCTCCCAACCCTCTCCACCATGGGGAACTATTTGGAGAGGGGAGGGAATATAGATCCCCCCACACCTCACCTCTCCAGCAGTTCCAACCTCAAGCGCTGGCCGTGGGGAAGTGTGAGTAGCTCCAGGCCAGAGGTCACCCCCATGGCATTTCTCTGACCCTTGGTCACTCCCAGGAGGCCTATAGCCTGGGCAGAGGAACAGAGAAGTGAGGGGAACAGACCATGTAGATGTCACGGGCCCTGCTCTGGCTTCAGCCCCTGTAGGGAAGCCTTTTTCTCCTCACTGAAACCTTGTCTCAAGGAGGGTGTGTGTGTGTGGGGAATCCTAAGAGTGGAGAAGAAAACTCACAAGGGTCAGGAAGTGTGGGAAACTCACAAGGCCCAGGAAATGGAGGAAAATTATAAGGGTCAGAAAGTGGAGAAACATAAAGTTCAAGAAGCTCCCCCAAAGTTACAAGATTCACAAGGTTCCCTCCCCAAGGTTTCATAAGCAACAGCCGTTGCTGGTGAGAGGAGACGTCTGTGGAGCTGCCTGCAAAGCTGTGCCAGGAACTTCAGGGATGCAGCTTTCCTGAGCCATTGCCCAGGCTGGCCTGCGCTTCTGAGGTGCTAACGCTGTCTCATCCCTGCCCCTCTAAGTAACTCCTCTCCCATACTCCTGTAAGTAACTCCAATAAACTCATCAATTCACTAAGCTGGACTTGGGTGGAACAGTTTCTTCTCTCTTTGGTGTCCTGGGTGACTAGACATTTGTTTATGTCTCCGTCAGGAAGTCACAATAGTCCCTTGTGGTGGAGGACCCTGGCAGGTGACCTACCTGGCAATCCACCAACAGCAGATGCAGGGCAGTGCTCTCAGGATGGTGCTCCACAAACAAGCCCCGGAGAGTACTCAAAACTGTGGGGTCCAGGGGCCGATTTTGGGGACCCAGTAGGCGGGAGGGGTGGTCAGGGGGGCTGAAAGAGACCTCAGCTCTCGGTCTCACAAAACATCTATTTCTCTCTTCCTCTTCCTCCTCCTCGGCTTCCCACCACGGGGTGTTTGGCTCTGTGCAGCTTGGTTTGGGGGCTATTTTTTGGGTACTGGGCACTCGGGGAAGGAGTTCACAGTACGTTGGGGGGCGCTCAGAGGTCAAGAAAGGTGTCCGGAGTGGCTTGGTGGGTGCCTTTGCATGAAGTTGTCCATCAGAAGCTCTGAGATTGTCAGCAGTGGTCCCCAAACGAGCCAGAGCCTTCACCAATGTGGGGTCACTGCCTGTGCGATGCAGGGCGGGCCTAGGCATATTGGAAGTTCCTGGGGGGTGTGAAGGGGGTCAGATGAGGTGGGGATGGGAGTGCACAGAAAAAATAGCTTAATGGCTTGGAGAAGGGAAGTATCTGGCTTTCCTTCAGGTGCTGGTTCACAGAAATAACAGGGAACACACCCCTCATCTTGGCCAAAACTTTGAGCCTTGACAATCTAACCAGGATAAATGACACACTTACCAAGGGCTTGAAAACTAACCTTCAGGACTTTGTTCATGTTCTGAATTCTGATACAATAGTCTGAGTTTGAGTGTGTGTGTGTACATGTTTATGCGCTGGTATGTGCACACACATGTGTGAATGTGGAGGCCAGGAGAGAACCTTGGGTGTCAGTCCCTAGACACTGTTTACCTTTTCTTCTTAAATTTTTGGACCTATTTATTTTTACTTTATGTGTATGAGCATTTTCCCCGTATGTATATAAGTGCACATGTGTGCAGTGCTCACAGAGGCCTGAAGAGGGAATCAGATCCCCTGGAACTGGATTTATAGATGGTTGTTAGCTGCCCTGTGGGTGCTGGGAACCAAATCTGGGTCCTCTGAAAGTGCTCTTAACTGCTGAACCATCTCTCCATCCCTCCTTTTTTTGAGGCAGGGTCTCTCACTGGCCTGGGGCTCACTGATTCAACTAGGCTGACTGAGCAGTGAGCCCTAGCAATCCTCCTTGTACCTTCCCAGGACTAGGTTAGAAGCCCACATCACCGTGTCTTGCCTCTTTTTTCTTCTTTTTTCTTTTCTCTTTCTTTAATGTGGGTTCTGGGGCGCAAACTCATGGCTTTCTGTTTGTATGGGAATCACTTTACTGACTGAGCTAGCTACCCAAGTTCCTCTCTTTCTCTCTCTCTTTCTCTCTCTCTCTCTCTCTGTTCATGTGGGTAAAGTGTGGATGCACATGTGCCATGGTGCATGTGTGGATGTCCGCATGTGTGGAAGTCAGAGGGCAGCCTCAACCGTGGCCCCTTCTGCCTTGTTGGGGGCCTCCTGATGTTCACTGCTTTGTATGCCAAGCTAGCTGGTGATGAGCCTCCGGGGTTCTCGTGTCTCTATCTCCTACCTTTGCCTTAGGTGTGCTGGGGTTACAGATATGAGCTCGCATGTTTGGCTTTACATGGGTTCTGGGGAGCTGAACCCTGATCTTCATGCAAGTGATTTACCACTGAGCCATCTCCTCAGCCCTCCCCACCCATTCTGAGACAGAGTCTCAATGGATAGGGTGGGCTGGTCTTGAACTCGAGATGCACCTGTCTCAGCCTCCCAAGTAGCCTCCATGACAGGCACACACCTGTAGCCCTGATGCATACATACACTTTGATACACACTCACAAGGTGTGTGGCCCCGTGTCAGTGCCAAAAGCTGGCATCATTTGCCAGAGCATGAAGTCAGGGCTCTGAGAAGGGGGAGCTGACAGCCTGAACTTCAATTGGGGAGTGAGTGGAGGGCCAGTCTGCCCTGTGCTGCCCTGGGGGACCCTCACCTGCTCCAGGGTGATCTGCGTCCCTTCCTGAGTGCTCCAAGTCTGCAGGGTGACTGGTACTCCACTTCCTCATTCTGGAGGACAGAAATGAGTGAGAGCTATAGACCCAATTTCAGCAGAGAAAACCCCATTTGAAGTTCTGGTCAACCAAACAAGCTCATCAAGCTCCCAGTGACGTTTAGTAATACCATCTTTATTTGTATTTTATTATTACTTTAAAAATATTTATTATATTTTATTATTTTATATGTATGAGTGTATTGCCTGCATGTTTGTAAGTGCACCCATGTTGTACAGTGCCTGCGGCGGTCAGAAGAGGGTGTTGGCTCCCCTGGAACTGGAGTTTTGGACAGTTGTTAGCTGCCATGTGGATGCTGGGAACTGCACCCAGGTCCTCTGCAAGAGCAGTCAGTACTCTTAACTGCTGAGCCATCTTTCCAGCCCCTTATTATTTGTTTTAATTTTATGTGTAGGAGTGGTTTACTTGCATGTATGTAAGTGCACCATGTGTGTGCAATGCCTATGGAGGCCAGAAGAGGACAGCGGCTCCCCTGGAACTGGAGTTAGAGATGGTTGCTAGCTGCTTAGCTGCTTTGTGGGTGCTGGGAACTGAACCCTGGTCTCCTGGAAGAGCAGCCAGTGCTTTTACCAACTGAACCATCCCTCTAGCCCCCTTTATTAATTTACTTTAATTCTGAGATGGGACTGTCAATGGTTCTGTGTTTCTGTCATCCCAGGTCTTATTGGCTGGAGGCAGAGTTCAGGATCATCCTCAGCTACATAGTGAGTTTGAGGCCAGCCTGGAGCTAAATGAGACAGGGGCTGAAAATAAAGAAAAGGAAAAGCAACGGATGGTTTGTACCTGAGAGGCCTGCTCTGGGCTAGGCTGTCAGTGAGTGCATCCTCGCTAAAGCTGCGCCTCAGGGGCCCCTGGCGAGTCACAGGCCTGGAGGCCACAGCTCCTGTGGCTTGGGACAGTAGGCGGCGGCCAGTCACGTAATTGTGGACCAGTGCTGACATGCTGGGAAACCTTTCATCTTCCAGCTGAAAGAGGGCCTTGGGGCGGCCTGGCCGGGGGCGTAGTACCACACGGAACACCTCGAAATGTAGGGGCTTGCCTCCCCAGCGGCAGGAGATGATGGGGTGGCCCCCACGGGATCCTGAAGCACGAACTAGGAAGTCTCCATCTCGTAGTAGAAGGCCTTCAGCTTCCTGAGGATGGAAGGGAACAGAAGGCAGTATTTAGAGACTTGTCCAGCCCCTCTCCCCTCCTCTCCCAACACTCAACAAAAGCACCACAGTACTGGGGATAGAACCAGGACGCCAAACATGCTAACCACAACCCCAGCCCCTTACTGGGGATTCTGGGCTGTCACTGTACCTCTGAGCCATACCCTCAACCCCTCACTGGGGGAGTCTAGGCTAGTGTTCTACTGCTGAGTTGTGCTCCCAGCATTACTGCTTTTTTTCTTTTTTTTTTGAGACAGGATCTCTCTATGTAACCCAGGCTGGCCTTGAATTGGAAATCGTCCTGCCTCAGCCTCTCCAGTGTTGGGATAACCGGTGTTTGCTACCACATCTGGCTCAATAGGTATTTGGTTTTGATTCTCACTGTATAGATTGGAAAACTGAGACCCAGGAAAATCAAATATCTTGTTCAAGATTCCATAGAATGTAAGCCATAGGGCTAGGATCTGGACACAGGATATCTGTTTCCAGGGTGTGTGATTTCAAGCACTTAACTTTCTGTCTTGCCATAATTTCATTAGCTGTCCAGGGTCCCAGGGCTTTGGAGTGTGACACAGAATTTGAGATGGGGATGGGGAGTCTCAACTTGAGAGAGAAATGCCAGAAGAGAGATGCTACCCAGAGGGGGAGACAGGCAGGAGCAACAGGGGTAATTTGAGGATAAGAACTCTCTTTAGACTCCATCACCATCCTCTACAGTATCCCAAGAAAGGGTGCTTTAAGTGCAGAGATTGACAGCTCCTAGTCAATGATGCTTTAAGAGCGTCTCCAAGTCTCCTAGACACCCCTGCCAACAGACTTTGACTGGATGTCCCTCATCCAACACTCAGGTTTTCCCACCCCACTGTGGGAGATTCTCTCCACCAGATGGTGCTAAGGCCGGTAGGGTTGATACCTGATGGGACAGGGGACCATGGTACCAGGGCTGGTTGGTGAGGTCCTCTTCATCCTGTGGCACCTGCATGGAACTCTTGGGAGAGGGTTTTAGAACTGATCTCTGTGTGTTCATCCAGCCTTGGGCTTCTGCATCTGCAAAATGGGAGCAATGAACTCTTTGTACCAAGGGGCTGGTTCCCAACCTTTCAATCTCATCTTATTTATTTATTTTAGCACTGTCCTAGTAGTTTAATTGTCTACTTAACAGAGCTTAGAGTCACCTGAGAAGGGAGTCTCAGTTGAGGGATTTCCCACATCAGATTGGCCTGTGGGTATGTCTGTGGGGGACTGTCTTGATTGATGATTGTGGTAGTCCGAATGAGAATATCCCCCATAGGCTCCAAGTATTTGGACAGTTGGTTCCCATTTGGTGGTGCTGTTGGGGGAGGTCCTGGAACCTTCAGGAGGTGTGGCCATGCTGCAAGAAGCAGGTCACTGGGGGTGAGCTTTGAGAGCAGATAGCCACGTCCCAATTTCCAGTCTGTCTCTCTTCTTCCTGTGCCTGCCTAAGATGTGAGCCCTCGGCGTTCTGCTCCAACTACCTCCTGTTGTGCCTTCTGCCATGATGGACTCTTAGCCTCTGGAATGGCAAACCTAATTTAATTAACTCTTCCTTCTACATGTTGCCTTGCTTATGGTGTTTTATCACAGCAGCAGAAAAGTAACGAATGCAGTGATTGATGTCCAGTCCACTGGGGGGGGCCAGCATTCCCTGTGCAGGGTGTCTTGGACTGTATAAGAAAGCTGGCTAAGCTGTGAATGAGCCAGCGAACAGCATTCCTTCATGGTTTCTGCTTCATGTTCCTGCCTCTGTCCCTGCCCTGACTCCTTCAGTGATACCCTGCAACCTACGAGCTGAAAGACACTCTTTCCTTCCCAAGCTGCTTTTGGTCAGTGTTTTATCACAGCAACAGAAATCAGACTAGAACAAGCCATCATACAGAACGATGGGTCTCATCACATTTTCGTATCTGTATAGACTATACTCTGCTCACACGCACCCCATCCCCTCTCTTTTGATTCATTTTTGTGTACACGTTGAGTGTGCACATATATGTGTGCCCTTGTGCATGTGGAGGCCTAGGATGATGCTGGGTGTCTTCCTTTATCACCCCATGCCCTATTCTCCTGAAGCAGAGTCTCTCACTGATCCTGAAGGTGGCCATTTCTGCTAGGCTGACTGGCCAGTGAGCTCCTGGAATCTTCCCGTCTCTGCCCCACAAAGCTGGTGTTACAGGTTTATACAAGTCTATGCTTGGCATTTTACGTGGGATCTGGGATTTGAACTTAGGCCCCAATGCCTGTGCAGCAAACTTTCTTGCCCACGGAGCCATTTCCTCAGCCCCCATTGACCTCTCTTGTCCCCTTCTCCCACCATACTGGCTTCTCTCCTCCTTTTTGTTTTGAGACAGGTTCTCTCTATGAAACCCTAGCCCCAGCCCCAACTTGCTATATTGAAAAGGCTGCCCCAGACTCGCAGAGATTCGCATACCTCTGCCTCTTGAGCACTGAGACTGAAGACGTGTACCACCACCCCTGGCTCCTTCCTGTTTCTGAATAGTTCCCTTTTTACTTTGTGTCATACACACACACATACATGTATACATACACTTAATTATATCTAGAGCATAAACACACATGACATAGTATATCACATATATTTTTAAATATTTTATTTATTTACTTATTTTGGTTGTTTTGAGACAGGGTCTCCCTGTAGCCTCAGCTGGCCTGGAACTCACTATGTAGACCAGGCTGACCTTGAACTCACAGGGATCTGCCTCTGCTTCTGAGTGCTGGGACTAAAGGCAGGCACCACTGCACCTGGCTTTTTTAAAAAAAAAAATTATTTATTATTTTTATTTTATGTGTATGAGTGTATTGCCTGCATGTATGTGTCGTGCAGTGCCTGCAGAGGACAGAAGAGGTTGTCGGATCCTCTGGAACTGGAGTTAAGGACAGTTCGTAGCTTCCATGTGGGTGCTGGGAATCAAAGCTGGGTCCTTTGCAAGAGCAGTCAGTGCTCTTAACCGCTGAGCCATCTCTCCAGCCCCTACACCCGGCTTTTTATTTATTATTTTTATTTTATTTGTATGAGTGTGTTGCCTGCATGTATGTAAGTGTACCCATGTGGTGCAATGCCCATGGAGGTCATGTGCTGGATTCTCAACAACCTGACTATCCCCTCTTCCTACACCTCCTTCACTTGTAAGCACCTCACAGGACCCAAAAATTCCTCAGAGACTTTCTTTTTCTTTTCCTTTTGTGTGTGTGTGTGTGTGTGTGTGTGTGTGTGTTTTGCTTATATGTATGTAAGTGCACAGTATGTACAGTGCCTATGGGAGCCAGAAAAGGGCATCATATCCCCTGGAACTGGAGTTACAGACAGTTGTTAGCCGCCATGTGGGTGCTGGCAACTGAACCTGGGTCCTCTGCAATAGCAGCCAGTGCTCTTAATCACTGAGCCATCTCTCCAGACTCCAGATATTCTAAATTGACAAGCAATTTATGGCCATGTTTTCGTCCACATATATATGTGCATACATTATGTATAATGTTAAGTATGTTAATATTAATAATATATTTTAATATTAATAATAAATTACATATTTCATACTGAGAATTGAGCCAAGGCCCCTTTCAGGACAAGCATGAGTTCTGCCACTGAGCCGTACTCTCAACCCCAGCTTATATCTATTTATACACAAATAAAGTGTACTTGTAAATAAATATGTAGCATACAAAATCAAAAGTATATACATGTGTCCTACTCTCCTTTCTGTTGCTCTAATAAACATGCTGACCAACAGCAACTTGGGAGAGGAAAAGATTTATTTGACCTACATGTCCAAGCCACAGTCCATCATTGAGGCAAGTCAGAATAGGAACTCAATCAGGAACTGAAGCAGAGGGCTGGAGAGAGCTCAGAAGTTAAGAGCACTCATTGATTGCTTTTGCAGAGGACACAAGGTCAGTTCCCAGCACCCACATGGCAGCTAACAACCATCTCTAACTCCAGTTCCAGGCTCTCTGGCACCCTCTTCTGGCCTCTGTGGGCACTGCACTTATGTGGCATACACTCACACAGATAAACACACATATACATAAATATATATGTATAAATATGAAAATATATATAAGTGGCTACAAGTATCTTGCTTACTTTAGTTACAGTTATTAAACCAGGTGTGGTGGCACATGCCTATAATTCCTGCACACAGAAGGCTGAGATAGGAGGATCATGAATCAAGGCTAGCCTGGGCTACAGAGTGAGTTGTAGACTAGCCAGGGCTATAGAATGAGACCCTGTCTTTTTAAAAATAAAACATAAAATAAAATGAAAATTAAAGTTAGTGATTTCTCACAGGCATGTGTGTGTATTAACTCTCTAACAGAACACAATTTTTGTTTATTTTTTGAGGCCTCATCTCCTGTAGTCCAGACTGGCCTTGAACTCCTGATCCTCCTACCTCCAACTTCTGAGTGCCTCTAGGTGTGATCTTTAAACCACCTTGAAGAGATATAGCTCAGTGGGTAGAGTGTTGTTCTAGCACGCAGGAGGTCCTGGTTTAATCCCCAGCACCATATAAATGGGACATGGTGTTGCATGCCTTTAATCCCAGCATTCAAGAGGCAGAGGCAAAGTAGATCTTGGTGAGATTGAGGCCAGTGTGTTCTACAGTTTGAGTTCCAGCTCAGCTTGGGTTACAGGGAGACCCTGTCTCAAAATCAAAAGCAAAAATCCAAACCAAACCAAACCAAAACAATAATGCATTTTGAATTTCTACTTGTAGATTTTGTATTATATTATGATGATCAGATTTTAGCTGTCAGACATTTCCACAGTTCTTTGATTATTCCACAAATCTCAAATATCTGGCATAGAAACTGCTTTGGGTGGGAGAGAAGGGAGTCTACAGTCTTTGGCTATGTCTCTGTCTGTTGGTTTCCTGTGTCTCTCTGTTTGTCTCTCTCCACTCCACTTGCTAAGGTCTTAAGAACCTAGAGGTGACAGTGGCCAGGCCTGGAAGGCAGGCAGTAGGGATTCTTGCCTCCTGAGTCAGCCACTTGGGGCCAGGCGGTTCCCAGATCTCTGCAGTGGAGGGCTGTCTCCAGGTGCTGCATACCTGAATCAAGGTGTGTTCTGTGAAGGCTTCCGGTTTGCCAGTTGGGCCAGGCCCTACAACTTGGTCTGTAAACTTCAGAACTCTCAAATTCTTGTCTCTGATATAACCATCTGTGGGAATGGAGGCAGGGTAGTGTCAAGCTCTCGTTCAAGTTTGGGCAGCTCAAGGAAGGCACCGGTCAGCCCCAGGTCAAAGAAGTCACATTCCTGCCTCAGTTTTTTTTTTTTTTTTTTTTTTTTGAGGGGGGGTGGCTAACTTATTTGAGCAGAGGAGAAAAAAAAAATCAAGCAAGGGTCTGGATAAACATTTACCTTTTCTGTATCTTTGTGTACAGATGTGTTCAGGGGTGCAGACAGAGCACACAGACATGGACCGGGGTTCAGGGTCTCACCTTTGAGCCAATGTAGATGATTGAAGACTCCTAAAACCCCCATCGCCCCGCAAAGCCCATGGGGGAATGAGGAAAATTATTTTGAAGAGTTAAGGGTGCAATAATAGGAAAGTTTGAGAAGGTGGCAGGGTTCTTTTATCAAATCAAATCTAATTCTTTTTTAGTGCGTGTGTGTGTGTGTGTGTGTGTGTGTGTGTGCGCGCGCGCGCGCGTTCATACCACAAACCGCTCGCAGGTAACAGGATAACGTTGTGTCCTCACTTCTCTCCCTATCGAAGTCATCAGAATTTCTCAGCAAGCTCCTCCACCCGCTGAACCATCTTGCAGCCCTGGCCTGGGGATCTTTAAGTAGGAAAGGCCCTTCCAGGAGATGGTGACCTGTGAGCTGAGACCCAGGTTTGGACTGATCTAGTCTGGCAAAACTCTGGGGTCCCCGGGTGGTAGTAGCAGGGTTCAGCAAGTGGAAAGAACGAAAGGGTAAGATAGATTGCTTTTGATGTTTTCATAGACTACGCAGTTGATGCGAGGTTCTTCCAAGGAGTGCACCCCGTTTTAAACCAAAGCGGCGAGTCTAGGAGGGCTTGTGGCCAGCGAGGGGCAGATCTGGATTTGCGATGACCCAATAGAAAGTGGAAGCAGGTAGGGCAGGAAACCCGCTTGGACAGGCGCGCCCGGGGCCACCCAGGCACGCCCAGGTACGCGGACACGAGTGACTCGGCGGCCGCTCACCCTTCCACTCCCCTGCAGACGCACCTGGATGGATCCTCAGCTTCTCCCTTGGAGTTGATGGTCACACCCTGATCAGTAGGGATCCCTGGATCATTCCACGGTACCCCCACTCCCCTGGGCCGGGCCTGAGAGATCTAAACACTCTGGGGCAGAGCCGCGCTGCCTGCGCCCTAGACAGGTCCAGCCTCGCCTGACTGCACCTAGCTGGAGCCCAGCCCAGGACCTGGCCACGCCCTCCCACACGGCCCGCCTCCTAGCCGGACGTCCCAGTCACTCACTCCGCCCTTGCCCCACTAGCAACGTTTCTTTGCTGGTAGCCTCTCCCCTTTCCAACTTTTGTCTCTCTAGTCCTCCACAGGCCCAGCCTCCTCCTGGCCCAGCCCCCTCCTGGCCAAGTCCCACTTCGGGGGAAAATTGACTTTTTTTTTTTTTTTTTTTTTTTTTTTTTTTTTTTTTTGAGACTGGGTCTCCTATATCACAGGCTGGCCTGGAACTCCTCATGTAGCTAAGGATGACCCTGAACTCCCAATCCTCCTGCCTCCATCTTCCAATCCTGGGATGGGAGGTGTGCATCACCACACCTGGTTTTTGCGTTGCTGGGGAATTGAACCCAGGGTCTCCTGCATGCTAGGTGAGTGAGTGCTCTACCAGCTGAATCCCAGCCCCAGCCCTAGAATGACTATAGCCCAAGAGCCTGGCCCTTCCAAGCCAGGCTGGCCCGAAGGACTCATGCCATGTCCTCTAAGGACCTGAATGTGGGGTGCTTCTCCATTCCCCCTAGGATCCGGGTGGAGGCTGGGTACACAGGGCTGTGACATAAAGGGTGCCACTTCCTCCAGCCTATCCCTTGAGTTTCCTGCAAAGAAGCAAGCCCCAGTTATGGGTGGGGAGACATTCAGGGAAATGGCCACAGCCTCTCAGAGACAGAGTCTGGGGGCAGGATGAGGATGGGGGATTAACCAGAGGTAGGGGGCTTCCATCCTGATACCAGAAGACAAATTAGAGGTAGATGGGGTTGGAATCTGGTACAAGACAGGCAATACTTTGGCCATTCACCTCATCTTTAAGAAGATAAGTACTGTTCACATCACCTACCCCCAGTAGAGAAACTGAGGCACAGGGGTTGGGGGAGTGTGCTGGATAGCTTTAGTGTCAACTTGACACACCTGGGTTGAGGGAGCCTCAATTGGGGAATTTCCTCCATTGGACTGGCCTGTGGCCATGTCTATGGGGTATTACTTGATTGTTGAGTGATATGGGAGGGCCCAGCCCAGCGTTAGCAGCGCCACCCCCAGGCAGGTTGTCCCATAGTGTTTGAGAAAGCAGGTTGAACACGGACCAGAAAAGCAAGCTAGTGAGCAGCGTTCTTCCATGGCCTGTGCTCCAGCTCCTGCCTCCAGGTTCTGCCCTAAATTCCTACCTTGGGCTCCCTCAGTGATCAACTGTGACCCGGGAGATGTAACCCAAACAAACCCTTTCCCCCCAAGTTGGTGTTGGTCAGAGTGTTTTGTCACAGCAACAGGGAGCTAAACCATTTATGCAAAAGTACCCCAGTTTGTGAGTGGTGGAGATGGAATATGAATCCAGAGCCCTAGGGAACGCTCTCCTGTCTGCCTCAGGTTTCTTTTTTTTAAAAAAATAACTTGGCCACCCTCTCTAAATTGTTAAATTGATACCAGTTTACAGATTAGGGGAAGGACACTTAAAAAGTCACAGATGCCTGATAGGGATGGAAATCTGTTCCTGTGCCCTGGTCCTTCCCCATCTCCCACCAAAGAGAACCAGGTTCAGGCAGGAAGAGCGAAGGGGTCTAGCGCCGTCTAGTGGCCACAAGGAAGAAGCGCTCCAAAGGGGAGCCGGTGAGATGGGAAGGGGAGCTATTCGGAGCCTGCAGCTGATGAATGGGGACGGACAAGTCTAGGAAAAGCAGGTTTGCTGACCCCCAAGAATTAATGAATGACACTGTAGCAAATTTGTAAGGGGACGATTGATGGCGGCTTTGAATCAAAAGACTGGGAACTCACGGATGGGGCAGGTGGGCTGTACGTTTGTTGATTATATGTATGAGTGCTCCGCCTGAATGTATGCAACTGCACTACCTGCATGCAATGCCGGTGGAGGTCAGAAGAGGGTGTCGGATTCTAGTTTCAGGGGATCTGACGCCCTCTTCTGTCCTCCAAGGGCAATGCATGACACTGGTGCACTTACACACATGCAGGCATAACACCAGTACACAAAAAATAAAAATAAGTCGGGTGTGGTGGCACATGCCTTTAATCCCAGCACTCGGGAAGCAGAGGCAGGTGGATCTCTGTGAGTTCAAGGCCAGCCTGGTCTATATAGCAAGTTTCAGGTCAGCTAGGGCTACAGGGAGACCCTGTCTCAAAAAAGACCAATAAATAAATAAATAGAAACTTTGATGAATTCTTTAACAATTTTATACACGTATACAATGTATTTTGGGGGGGGGGAGTCTTTTTGGAGACAGGGTCTCCCTGTAGCTCCTGCTGACCCTGATCATATCCACCCTGCTCCCCTCTCTCATCTGCCAGGCACCCCTAATATGTCCCTCACATCCCTCATGCCCTCCCTCACTCCTTACAAGAACCCCCAACTCCTCATGCCATCCGCCCCCCCTAGGCACCCCCAACATGTCTCTTACCCCCCCCCATTACTTTTCATTTTAGTTATTCTGTAACCCACTGAGTCAGGTTGGAATACTGACTGATCTTGCTGGCTCAAGCTTATGCAGGTCTTGTGTAGGTAACCACAGCTACTGGAAATTCATGAGTGAAAAGACCATATTATGCCCAGAAGACAGTATTTTAAGGCCATTTGGTGGCACACATCTTTAATCCCAGCATCCTGGAGGCAGAGAATCTCTTTAAGTTCAAGACCAGCCTGGTCTACATAGTGAGTTACAAGCCAGCTAGGGTTTCAGGCCTATGTGACTGGAACAGAGGGAGTGAGGGCAGAAAGGAGGGGTAGAGGAGGCAGAGCGAGGACAGGGCAGGGCCGGCAGGGCCTGGTAGGCTGCAGGAAGGACTTGGGTTTTCAGCCCCAGGAAGGTGGGAGCCATGGAGTGCTGTGGGTAGAGGAAGGAGGGCGCTGACTCAGAGCTCACGGGCGCCCTCTGGCGGCTGCATGGAGGACAGACTGTGAAAGACCAGGACCTTAGGGGGTCCCCTAAGGAGATCTTAGGGGCCTGGGTGGTTAGGCCTGAGCCCTGTGGGTGGAGAAAAGAGAGGTCACAGCAATGCGTGGATGCCGTGGGGCGGGCCTGCAGGTGCTTGCCCTCCGCCCCACAGCTCCTCCCCTTCCACCCCCTCCACGACAGTTACAGGCACCAAAGAGGAAGTGGTTCCACTCTCCTCTCGGGGTGGGTAGTGGAGGCTGTGCGCGCCAGGGTGCACTGGGCCTCCCCGAGGGGAGGCAGACAGCACCATGGAGCTCTGGCGACAATGCACTCACTGGTTGATCCAATGCCGGGTGCTGCCCCCCAGCCACCGTGTCACCTGGGAAGGGGCTCAGGTCTGCGAGCTAGCCCAGGCCCTTCGGGATGGTGTCCTGTTGTGCCAGCTGCTTAATAACCTCCAGCCACATGCTATCAACCTGCGTGAGGTCAACCTGCGTCCTCAGATGTCCCAGGTGAGCCTGCTGGGTGATGCTCTGGGGCCAGGGTGAGGGCTAGATGTCAGGGCTCACAGAGTTGAAGGAAGATATGGGGGTCAGAACACTCCACTAAAAGAGGTGGGGGGTCATGCTTCTAGGCCTGGAAGTTGCAAAGGGGGTTGCTGAGAATCAGAGACTTTGGGGGTGCAAATCACCCAAGAAAATCAAGGCCTTTGGGTGAGCCTGTTCCTGAACATGTAAGCTAAGGGTGAACTCCCCCGATCCTAGGCTGACTCTGTTGAGACCCATCTGGAGGAATTCTTAGGGTGCCCCAGTGTTCTGTAGATACCAAGACAAGGTTTCCCTGTCTCCTTTGACCCCCTTGAGAGTCAAGCGCTGTTGTGTGTGTTCTAGGGGCCTTCAGCAGTTTTTCCCCCACCAGTGGCTCCTCCTCTTCCTCTTCTCTTCGGCCTCTTCCTTCCCCCTCACATCTTCCTTCCCCTCCGTTTCCTGCCAGGGCTTTGGGCTGTGTGGTATGAAATGAAGGGTGTGTGTGTGGGTTAAACATCAAGCTCTGAGGCTCTCTCATGGGATCCCACCAGAGGGGGACATTGAAGGGCAAGGCCCAGCCCTGGCCTTCACACAAGGTCCTGGGGGCATCTTGGAGCTTGAAAGAAGGGCAGTGTGTTGGCTGGCATTCTGCACACCCTAGGCATCAGGAGGGGAACAGGGTTTTACTGTCCCCCAATGAGTTCAGGAAATGTATTCAAATCCCTATTTGAATGTGGTTGGCGTGGGGGTGGGACAATCGGACTGAGGGTGACTTTGTAGTCCTTTCTCTACTTCTCTAGGACTTCTGAGTTTGGGGGTGGGGGTTCTGGGGGCCCCTGCAAGTCCTGGAGAAAGACATGAGACTCTGATCAGAGGGGACACAGCCTTGTCCTGGGGTCTGAGGGATATAACTGTAACCTGTGATAGGGCGGGAGTAAGGGGACATGGCTATGCTCTGGACTCCAGAGGACAAAGCTCTGGAGTGCGGGCCATCTGCTCTCTTACCCTTAGCCTTCCAGACTAGAACAACCCCCTGTCTCTCAGAGCCACAGTTGAGGATGCTCTCTGAGCTTGACTGGCAATGGTTGGCTGGGCTTGATTTCTTCTTTGGCCTGAGTGGCCCTGTGTAGTTGAAGAAGGGAAGTCACTGCTTACAGAAGGACCTGCTGGGGTCTTTGGGAGAGGGGAAGTTCCTAGGGGCCATCAGTGGGTGGCTCTTTCTGCCTCTGGTCCTTGGTGGCCCCTGTAGCCATCACAAGCTCCTTGAGAAGAACCCAGCTCCCCCATTCTCCACGGACATGTTCTCCACGTTCTCTATTTGGCCACAGGCCATCAAAAATTTGCCTACATTTGCTTGACCTCTTTTGGCATCCAGAGTTTGAGGAAGTAGCCACAGGGCTCATCCTCACCTCTGGCTGGGACTCACGGTGTCCTGTGATGTGGCAATTGTAGCTGA